GCATATTTTCTTTATTATCTCTTAATTTTAGAAAATGCTGGGTTTTCTTCTCCTTTTGACTGTTCATTGTGAGTTTGAGAGGAGGTAGTGAAGAAGGAATTAATTTGTAGGTTTGTATAAAACATTTGTGTTAGCAATTTAGATTTTTTTTTTTTTAAGTATTGCTAGCTAGGAGCCAAGCATGGGAGCATCAGACTTACAGTAAATAAAATGAAGAAAGCAGCCTGACTCAGGCTTGTCTTATTTAGTCTAGACAGTACTTTTCATGCCAGACGTTGCTGGTCTCATTTCTGCTTGCCAGTTACTCTGATACATTGCATTCCTGGTTTGCTTTTATCAAGCAAGAGAGTTTTCTTTTGCATGATAGTTAGCTGCAAATGTTTGTTCTCCCTCTGCAGTGCTGTTGTAGCCTTATTAGTATTTATCTTATTGTTTGTGTGTTGAAAATGCAATTACACATTTGTTTGTCTGTCTAATGTACACTTCAGCAATGGAAAGTTTTTGTCAAGTTTATTAAGTTAATGTCAGTTTTGAGCATCTAATTACAAACTACCATATAAATTAGTGACATAAACTGTGTAATGCAAAAATCTTGTGTAATCTCGGCTGTTTCATGCGAAATATAAAGACTGGAATGAACAATTACATCTTTCTAACTAGTGTTACAGGGAGCGTTGAGTATTTTGGTTTGCGACAATGCCCAGGGGTTCTGCTGAGTTGTGCAGTGTTTAAATGTGCAGTAAGCAACATGCTGAAGTTGGGAAGGAATAAAAGACCTTTAGTTGCAGTGATGTTTTGTTGTTAATAAATTAGAACTACTTATCTCTTAATATTAAGTATAGTGGACATGAGTTGATGAGTATGCCTGCCATTTCTTTGTTTTAAAGACCTGGTTTAGAGTGTCTGTGACCTACCTCAAGTATCCTCTTGTAGGCTGTGGTAGCAAGATAGCACCAGCTATTCCTAGTGGCCTTGAACCTTGAGTAGCATTGTGAAGAAATCAGTCTATCCTGCTACTTATTTATCAATTTTTGGATATTCCAACACCGGGACTAGATTAAAACGTTCCATTCAGTGCCTAGCATTGCTACACTAGTGTGCTCTGAACACAGATTAAACTGCCTGAACCATTTGCCTTGGGACAGCTAAATGAATCTGAGCATAATAGTAGGCTTGGTTTTGCTTTGTGCCAGAGGCCCCTGGCACAGGTGATGGGACTGTGGATACACCAGCTGGGCCCCCATGCAAAGACAGGACCAGCATGAGGAGCTCAGGCAGAGCTCCAGAACTTGGCAGTGGCCACCCTACAGGAAAGGGAAGAAGCAGTAGTGCTCCCAGGCTGGTAGGAGAGTTGTTTGGCAAGCTGGCACTGACAGTTATAGCAACAACCACTGCTTTTTAGAGGGTTGGGAATACACTGTAGTAGAGTGTTAAGATAATTTCCAAAGGCACAGTAGGGACTGCGGTGATGCTTGTTACCAAACAAGGCCTGAAATATTTCCTTGTGACATCTTACATTTTTATTAATTGTTTTCAGTGCTGACATATTACTTGCCTTCTCTCTGAGGCTCAGTCTCTCCTTTGTCTTCTGAGGTCAATTAGAAGGCATAATTCTGAAGGTTTCTTTTACAGGGATCAATACAAGGAAAAAAAAAAAACAACAACCCTTCACTGTGTTGCTAAGCCCACTAGAAATCATATCTTTGAAGTAAGAAGTCCTGCAGCACTGAAGGACCCCCCGTGTGCTGGTCTAGGAATAAAAAACCCAGGTCCTTCACTAGTGTCTATACCCAAGCTGTTGATAGAGCTACATGACTGGTCTCATATAGCTCCCATGATGTAGTTACAGGAGTATCCTTGATTCTAGTGGAAGATGCAGCATTGCAGTTAGCTATGCAATATCCTTTTGATTATGAGCTAACATCTTCAAGAACTAATTCGTGTTGATAAGAATTTGAATATCAAAAGACAGTCAGAACAGAAGGATCTCACAAATGCTTTGATGTTTGACCATATCAGCTCCTATTGGAACAGCGCTTCTCGTGAGCAATATCAGCTGAGCTGGTCGGATGGCTGGCAAAAATACGCTGCCAGTTAGGTCACATCCACGCTAGCAGCGGGTGTCCAATAGTGGGCAACTTTTAAACATTTGGAGTACTTCTGTGCATACCTGTACTCAAGATATTTGGTAGTTTTACACCCAGATCATCAAAACTGAGGATAAATGTGCAAGAAAAAGGGTGTAGACATCTCTTAAATTTGGTTTCATGCAACTATTGTAAGCATACACCTTGATACAAGAATAGGTGATTTACTGTGTTGTAACTAAGATTGACAATTTGCACAATCAGGTTTCCTTTTAAGGAACTGGAGTTCTAGAGTACAGATTACAGCTTCCCTTTGTAAAGAAAGCTTACTCTTATACTTCCCTAACAATAATTAATTCTTAATTCATTATACATTAATACTTAATTCAAGCTAAATTAAGGAAGAAAATTACAATACCTGAGAAGGAAGGAAGGTGCAACTTGTATAAATGCTGGTGGTAAAACTTTCAGCTTCCAATCTATGGCCTTACTTGTGGTGTTGTTTTTTTCTAATGATTTATAAAATTTTATTTTAATTTCAAGTGTTATGATGGACTGTATTGTAGGGTGACAGGATTGGGCTACAGTGTGGCTAGGTATGTGGCAATATGAAAGGTAACACATGTTATAGCCTTAACAGAAAACAGGCACTTAAATGGCAGCATCTGTCAGAATCCAGTCAAAGAAAACACCATTAAACTTAAATATATTTAACTTCTAATAGATTGCTGTAGTATCAACTTCTGTAGTATTTTGAACTCTGTTGTCGTGACCTACTTACACATAACATGGGAAGAATTCGGTATAGACCCTCTTATGTCCAGGTACAGAAATGGATGTCCTTATACATAGGTGTCCAACAAAATCTGTAGAAAAACCAGGTTGTTCAGGAAGGATTGTAGTGACTCTTCAAAGAAATGAAATTAATGTGTAAGCAGTACTGAAGGCAGTGACTTCAGCTTTATCGCAGGTTGAGGTCTTCCTGGTGATACCTCTTGTCAGACTGTGTTGAATACTGAGCCTGTCCTCCAACATCCCTGAAGCCTCTCTTTTGATCTGCTGGTAGGAAACCTGAAGACAACATGGAAAGCACAGTATTCTCTCTTAGTCTGGGGAAGGGACTTTTACTGAATATAGTGAGACTGTGTAAGCACTGTATTAGAAAAATTTGGCTTGGAGATAGTCTGAGGAGTTATGTTTCTGTTGTATGTAAGAGTCATAGAATATCTCTGTTAATGATTGCACTTTTTCTCAAACTGATCCAAGTTACCAAGAGCATCTGTGTAGGACAAAACCCCATTGTCTGTCCTAACCACAAATCCATTGGCTACAGCAGTTACTAAGCATCCTCAAATAACATGACTAAGGAATCAGGCATTGCTTTGGAGATAGGGGCTGGCTCAGGCTCCATGTGTCGGAAAACAATACAATAGTCGTCTGACTTCTCACTCGGCTGAAACTCTTCAGTCCCACCACTGTGGGGAAGAGCTGCTCAGCTGTGCTTGGTGAGATAGGGCCTATGCCTTATTCTCAGAGGACAGTTATTTACTCTGCAGAGCTGAGGCTCTTTGAGGGATGGTTGTTGCAAATCCCATGACTTTCCCATTTTTCCACTTTCGCAGACCGAACGTATTACAGACCCTTAGTTGAGAAGACAGTGCGGGAGGCTTACAGCATCCCCCTCTTTGTGCCTCCATTTGAGCAAAGGACAGCATAGTCCTAGTAGCCTGTTATTTGATTAGTAATTGATACTACACTCTGAGGAATGTGTATCTCTACAGTGTGATCTACACTAGCTACAGCTTCTTGAAGACTTGCTATTTGTAGATTTGTTACTTGAAGGTGTGCTATTACTTGCTAGGCAGTGGAACTCTGCAGCCCAGGGCCCCAAAGTGGCTCGCAGTTTCGTTGTGTGTGGCTAACAGCTGCACGATTTGCTCCCTTGCTTGTTTATTGCTAGGTTGCACTGTGGAAGAGTGAAGGGCAGTTTGTCTATTAGTAAAGAAATGGTTCCTGCTGCTGATGGTGGCTAAATAACTGTGGGTTTTGAGCGAGGGAGAGGGGAATTTCTATTGAAATTTGGCAAGGTCCTGTGCAGTGAGAAGCAGAGGTCTTAGGGAGGAATCTGACAATGCAAGTAAGGAACTGGGATTGGCAATGAGAGACTTGGTGAGCTTCAACGAACTCATCTTGTTTAACAGGAAGAGGAGATAATTTTGCTGTGAAAGGAATCCATGTTGTTGTGGGACATTTGTCAGAGATGTTCCGTAGTGCAGGCAAAGATAAAGTGGATGGGGAAAGTAACGTGGAGCTGGGAAACAAGAGACAGACTATCTCATGAGATGGGAGACAGGCTGAAAAACGGCAAGAGGAGCAGTGCTCTGCTCTGTGACTAGAGGGGTATGGTGGGGAAGGGAAACAGGATTTCTGGGAACTGAGGGGGAAGTCAGCTGAGTTTAGGTTCTACTTAACATACCTGGTGTGAAAAGGCAGTTGTGAGAAATACAGGGAGGTTTAAATGCACAGCTGCTCCTCTGACCAGTCTGGAAAGCTCTGTGTGCTAACAAAGTTGAGCTCCAGCTCATGATTTTGAGGAAGACTTTTTCCTATTCCACCCTGTTCTCTGAGCTAGCCATGATATTACTCTTGCTATGTTAAAAAGGAAGTGATATAATCCCTGTAGTTTTTATTTGTTTTGTGTTTGTTGAGCTGACAAGACAATGAGAATGCTTAAATGCATGGAAAATCAGGTGCTTAATTGGAAGCTAGTAAGTTTCCCAAACTGTATTTTGAGAATTTGGAGTACAGATTATTTTGTCTTTAATTTTTTGCTAGTAGTTTCTAAGTCTAATTTATTAATTCTTGCATCATTCTGTCTCTTCTGTTCTTTTTTTTTTTTTTCCCCTAAACCAGGATGATACCCCTTTCTTCTCAGACACTGATGATGAATCTTCATCATGGCCAAACACAGGAATATGTGATCAAACCCAAATATTATCCAGTAAAAAAAGTGATTTCAGGAGAACAGTCCACCGAGGGCTCTATACCACTGAGACTGGGCCAGGATCAACTTGCATCACCTTTTCAATGTGAGTACAACTGCAAGAAGTGTACTCCCTTCTTCCCTCCCCACCCCGTTTTTTTTTTTATCTCGGAAATGTCTTTTGTTCACCTGAATTGGAGTAACACCTAAAGACAGAAAAAGGTTAAAATAATTAAACAAGAGATAACTCTTAGATTAGCAAATGCTCCAACATCATGCATCCTGTTGAGAAGTAAAACAGATTTCCTGGATGAAGAAAAAAAATGAACCTGATTCTCTGCTGGAATCTCAAAATGCTATTTCTAGATGATAGTCTTTTCTTCAGATAAAAGGTGCTTTGTGAGCACTTGCTAGAGTAGGCATAACCATGAGTGTGGTCAGTGCAAGATGACAGTTTCCTTGACTTCAGTATGATGGATACGCTTCTTGGAAAGCTGAAGTCTGGGGTTGTGGTCTCATTGGCGACTGTTTTTCTCTGTATTTAATTTATTACGTTTTTATGAACTTCTGCACAGTATGGAGGCTGCATGAGAGTTTCTGCTTCATACTTATAAAAAAAGGATTGTGTAGGTGCCCAGCTTGTGGCCTTGGCTCATGCCCCATTGTGTGGGGAGCTTGAGGACAAGTTTTGGCTTAAAAGATTAAGAGTTTGATAAATTATGGATTTGGTATTACAGAACGTCTGCTGGCTTGATCTGCAATTAAATAATAGACTGATTAACGTGGAGACCTGAGGTACTTGCAGTCTCCTGACAGACTTCCTCCGCTGTAGCATGGAGAATTATGTTCTGCTGGGGATTTAGGGAAGAGCCTTTCCTTCTAAACCTGTAAATATGATTTCTTTGTGTGAGTATCTTTGCATTTCTGCATTGCACATCTTTGTGGTCGCCATATAATACTTGGTGGCATTGCCCAAGAGTTCATAGTTATCAGTTAACATGTGGAGAAAAGCAAGTAATTATGTTAATTTTTTTCTGAGCTTTTCTATGCATTTAATTTTAAAGTATTAACACTGTGACAGAGATTGGCATCCATGAAAGATGTACTCCATAGAATAAATCTATTTCTCCTAATGCATGTGATTGGTGTTGATTTTTCTGGACTTCTACAGATGATTTCAGTCCTGTGACATGAAATGAATAGGCTTGAAACTGGAACAAGTGTCAGTCCTGAGACACTTTTAAAGACAGGGCTGTCCTGGCAAAGGCAAATGAGATGTGGTATAATGGTGCTTTAGGAGGAAAACTGCCGACCCTGTGTAGGTGCTTCTGGGCATCTTCTGATTCATAGACAGTCAATGGTGTTCGAATGTCCCATTATAATGTTGCCAGATCAGCTTTTGGAGATACTAGGGAGAACATGTTAAAGATTAGTCATGGTAAACTTTTTTCAATTAAAATTCATTTAAGGTTCCTCCTGCAACATTTACTGAGGTGTATTTCCGAGCAGTTTAATTTCTGTAAATAGCTTTCAGAACACGCAGTATGGTAGTCTTACTAAAGACAGCAAAATGGCCTATTATTATTTTGCCTTTTAAACTGAATTTTACTGTAAAGTTATATATCACATCAACAGAGCTTGAAAATTCAGTAAGCTATCAGGGTTACAATAATAGCATTTAAAGTCATCATGGGACATGAAATGCAGTTACCTGCCAGTAGCCATTTCTACTATCGAGCATTTTGATCTTTTGTGCTGTGGGATATAAGCCTTCTCCTAAGAATAGCTAGTGTAATTAGTCATAAAGCTAGCATAAACATTTTAAGTTCTTTCGTGCTAAACTTGCAATTCTAATTAATTGTGCCTAATGGAGGAGGCTGTTACAGTTGTTCATAGTGATTTTTTTAGAAAGTCGTCTTTTTGAAAGAAAAAACACCCTTGAAATAATGTTAAATTTGAGTTCGCAGACTTGTTTGAATTTTCAGAACGGTCACAATTTTACTCCATGATTAATTCTGTGTCCTTATGCCTGGTATTGTAATATGGTTTTATTTATACGGTCACATATTGCTTTTTTCAAAGGGCTCATACAACATTCAGTACAGGAAGAGAGAGAAAAATCAGGACCCATAAATATGGCCTTGTATAATTTTAAAGTGCTTGTCTTCAGAGCTGAAATGCTGTTTTGTTCACATCTTTCTAAATCATCTGTTGAAGTTATTACACTGTAAAGCATCTGTCTGATTCTGTTTAATCAGTATGCCGGTATATTTAAGCTACTGCAAATTAATCTTCAGATATCTTTGTGCAGAATTAGCAAATACTTAAGGAAAAGGTTTTAGATACTCAGAGCCTCCTCAAACAAATGAGAATAGCTCATGTTGGATAGACTGACAGCTGCAGAGAAAGTAGAAATATGATTTAGCACAAGTAGGAAGATTGAATGTATAGTGACGAAAATAAGCTTGCAGTGGAATTGATATGATCAGCAAAGAATAACTGAAAAGGATGAGATCATGTGGATCTCAACATTTGTAATGTAAGCATCAAAAATACTTTGACACACAGCTGAGGCCAGCCAAATAGCCTGTCTTATGTAAGCTCACCATGAGGTCTGACTAATTCTCAAGGGATGTGTTGCTTTCTTAAAAGTACGTATCGGCACACTCCATCTCTATCTGCCTGAATACTTGAAACCTCAGGGTTAAAAATCCTCTAACAGTAGCAATGGCATCAGCACAGAAACTTCAGCTGTAAAATTCGATTTGCAACCTAGTAGCCTGTAAAACAGTAGGAAGATGACATCGTTAGTAATTCAGGTACATCCACCTCAAGTAATTTTCCACTACTCTTTTAATGGCACTGTTAAATAATAGCCAGTGGTCAGGGTGAGCTGAGCATGGATCCTCCAAACATCAGCACTGAACTCCCTAGCTCTGTAAATGGAATGTTAAAGAAAATTAGCTGAAGGAATTCTGTGCTGTTTCTATTGGTGTAAAATATATAATTATAATAAGCAAATTCTAAAGTGAGCGCATGCTTTCTGGAATTCTTCTCAACACAGTTGTTGTGAGAACTGCTTATTACAGCAGTAAGAGGTTAGGAAGTTCTCAGTGTCACTCTATCCTGGTGTTAAATGACTTCAGAAAATGCATTTAAATATAAATAAATTTTCCAGCCTGAGACAGCTGAGGGCTAGCTTTTAGTGGCATTGTACATTTTGACTATTGAGCTGAAAAAAAAAAGTGGAATTTCTGCTTCTGAAATCAATTGTTCAGTGTTATTGGAGTTTGTGTTGCCTGCGTGTGTAGGATACTCTCACGCACGCCCCACTGGACTACAGTTCCATGCGTGTATGGTGATGATGCCACCGCTTCCCTGTCTTAGAGGCATGCTGTGAAAATATATTAATTAGCGGCTGAGGTGACCAGAAATCACACTAAAAGCAAAAAGGAAAACTCAAGAGTAGGTATAGAGTACCTTACCCACAGCTGGAAGGCCATTGTGTGAAGTAAATAAAGTATGTGTTTATACAATAAAGTTATCCCAAGGATAAATGTAGGTTTAAGAAGGAAAATGTGCCTAATCTGTTTATTCAGGAAGACAATACAAAATGTATGTGAATTTTGCAATTGAAGTTGCGTGTTAAGTTCATATAGTTAAATAGTTTAGAAGACTTTTTTTCTTTTCCTTTGGGTAGATGGGGGTTTTTTGGTCTTCACCAAAATTCCTTATAAAATGCATTGAGGAAATAAGTCTCCTTCCTATTTTAGGTAGAAAACGAAAATGTCTCAAATTTAAGTAGTACAGGACATACTGGTTAGTGAATACAGGCTTGCAGCACCCTACTGTGGCTCAGTTGTGTGTTGTGGCTTGAAGTTGGACAAGTATGTGTGTATGGCTATTAGGCTCTTGGAAAGCACATGATTCTGTGAGCAGCACTTAAATCTGTGTTTAAAAGTGAAGCTGAAACAATCATATGAAAGCCGTGTAACTGTTCTAGCTATTGATAAGTTATATTGCCTCATATTTTACAACATAATTTTACACACATTTATATTAATGAAATAAGATTAATGTGGAAGAAAATGTCTCGCCACTTAGAACTGTGATGTGCGGAATACTCTGTTACCATTTTGGCGTAACAATAGCTTTCCTACTATTGGAAGCATAATACACTGATAAATTAGAAGCTCTTTTTTAAGCTCATACATAATTTACACATGATGGTTTCATTGATGACTTCATAGCTCAATTTAAGCAAAAGCAGGTGTTGCTTTGAAATTCCAATTTAAAGTATTTTTGTGGAATTGCACCATTCTGACTTCACTGTGTGACACTTACATCATAATAATAGTATTTCCCCATAAGTAAGTATGGGTAAACAGCTGTAGAATACATAAATGTTTTACTGTTTAAAAAAAATGCATACCGAGATATGACACGTGTTCCATGTAAATGCATCTGTATGATTTGACATTCTACCACAATTCAGTATCTGTTGACTTCAGGGGAAAAGCTCCCTCAGGTCTTCAGTGGGTCAGATATTCTTTCCACCCTTTTTGGTATTTGTGGACCTGCTCTGTGTAAACACCAAAATAATTCTTTCACTCGCTTGTCTTTAGAGTATTGTGTTGTGTTCTTTGTAACTTCAGCCTACGTACATATGTGTGCTGGAAACTTTTCTAAATAAAAGTTTTGGGAAATTTGGAGGTAAGGGAGGGATGTCAAGGCTATCCTCTGATTAAACAGGGTATAGCCAGCAGAATGAGGTGGGTACAAAGAGAATGAACAGTTGCAAGACTAACAAGCAGAAACAACAGAAAAATCACAATATGGTCTATTCGGAGGGAATGTAGAGTCAAATTTACCTCAGTCACTCATGGGAACTGACTGGCTCCTGAGCTTGTACATAATTGAATACAAATAAGGGAATGGGATAAGTGTATAAATGTCAGGGACTCTTTTGTTTTGTTTTTTCAAATGCAAAACACTTGCATGTGTGTTCAAAGCCTTTGCTCCCCTTCAAGAAGCAAGGAGGATTTTTCAGGGATGTTCTAAAATGTTCAAGAAAACATTTTGGGGCAATCAGTATCAGGGTCAATC